AACTTAAGAAATCGAAGTGAAAAGATATATGCTTAAACAATCAATCTGTTGCACTCCTTTTTTAGAAAATATCTTAATCATCTCACAAATCATTATCAAGGTCATGATTCCCTTGAACTTAGTTCTGAGAAGGAACGGGAAGTATTGTGTAACTCTTTATAATCGGTCAGTGGAAATGGAAGGATAACAGATAGGATTTGCCAACATGGAAATGGAGTAGTTAACATCTTCAGTCCAATTATTCTATAGAATCCAAGAAAGCTACATACTTGAATTATATTTTGCATGCAAATCACCAGTGATGTCTTCCCTTATTACGGTTAGGGAAGCGATATACACAAATGACGAGGTGCATAGGTTTCTGTATAGTGTGATATGGCTACTGAAACTATTACCTCCATAATTCCATAGTGATTATAGCAAGTCCATAGGGAGGGGCATGTAAACAATCCAGATGTTAATGGGCATCCAGGTCAACTAAGAAACTTTGGACCAACTAGAGATTGGATACAGTACGGTAAAGCAAATCTGATGATGGCTTCTTGCTAGGCCAATTGGCATGAGGACAATAATAGTGTGTAGAAGTACTTTCGGAAACTCTAATCAACATACTCCATCATTGTTACTATCTTTTGATCAAATAGGGCGATCAAGGAAAAGGTGAAATTCACCAATATCCTACCCTTACAAACCAACTTTTGGGGTGTGTTTGGCAATCTATCAATAACGGGGCCAAGATCAGTCCCAGCCCAGTTCTATCTTAAAACTGATTTTAGTTTGGACCAGGGCAGGGGTGGTTTAAAACTTCAAACTAAAACGAGTTTAGTGGGCATTTTTGGCCTACAAAAATGGGCCAACATTGGCCTAGTTTTTTGCCAAACAAAAAGGTATCCAAAACTAGGTTAGGTCCAGTCCTAACCCAGTTTTAGAGATTTGCCAAACACACCCCTAGAAATGTTGAATAATCTGGGCAGATGAATGGGAAGACTCTGATGAGAGCCATGAGGCAGACTAATGTTGGTGCTAGACCAGTTTCTCACTCACCACTAGATATATCTCTTATTGCCCCTTTTCTTTTTCTTTTTTCTTTTTTTTTTGGGTGGCCGATTGAGAATCTCAGGGACATGTTTCACTTTGTATGCAGACTTAGAACTTTTTTCCTTTTCTTAACTTTCCATCTATGTTACACAAACACGTGTACAGGTGCAGGTACGGGACACAACTTAGTTGAACAAAAATGGTGTTTGGTAATTGGTAGTGAGGTGGATGCATCTCAACTAGTACAAAAAGAAAAGTGTCACATAGGAATGTACCAATGTTGAAAATAGCGATAACGCATAGCGTAACACTTACCTCCGGTTAACGTAAAACGCAAAATAGCATAACTCTAAACGTAGGTTAAATAATTTATTATTATTTAATATTTTATAGATACATAATATTCAAAATCAAATAATATGAATAATCATCACAATTTTCAAACATATCAATACATAATATTCAAAATCAAATAATATGAATAATCATCACAATTTTCAAACATATCATCATAAAAATATTATCACAAATCAATATATCATCACAATTGAATAATCATCACAATTTTCAAACATATCATCATAAAAATATTATCACAAATCAATATATCATCACAATTTCACAACAAAATCAACCATGAGTAAGTTAAATGAACGTAAATCAGTATTCAAGATCGTACATTGATGATTCAGAAGTTGAATGGTCCTCAACTGGGCGCGAAGAGTTTAGAAATTGATTGGGGATCTCTGGGAGCTGCGGAGATGATGACGAAGATGACAACAAGGATGGCGAGCCGGAGGAATTGATGAGTCGAAATCGAAGGAAGAAGAAGACAGAGGATTTTTTTTTATCTAGAGAGGCGGAAGCGACGGGAGCAAGGATTTAAGATTTAGGCGCGGGGTCCACCACTTAAACTCAATCATAGCCATCAAATTCTATTAAAAATCAATCCCAACTTTTGAACAATTTACCTAGTTATGGAGCGCTATAAAGACGCGTTACAAAGCGTACGCTATAGGTAAAATAGCGTACGTTATTTTGTTTTTGCGCTAATTTCCAATGCTACGTTACATTATGCGCTATTTTGTGCTACAGAACGCGTTATTTTCTACACTAGAATGTACTTTCCATCCAACTAATTTCACTCACATACATGGTTGAGATTCTTCCCCTCACTATCAAGCACCAAAGTTGGTACTTGTGTCAATCATACCCATACACACACTCTCTCTCTGCACGTGCACGCATGCATGCGTGCGTGTGCAAAAATATGAGTATTTTTTATAGTGAGGTGGCCAACTATCATCCACTCATTCAATGAGATAGTACTAAAGTAGAGATCATTTCAAGTAACTATAAATGTGTGGATGAGTTGGGACCATTTTTCAAGTGGGCAACTTAAATGTGTACATGAGAAGTGGCCATGTTATTACCAAGCACCTATTTTGTCCATGGTACCAAGTATTCTCTCTCTAGACTACTATTAACAGTATCTAACATCTGGATGCTATCAACCCAAATTTAAGGTTTAAAATCGGAAAATAAAAATCAAAGCAGTAGATGTGATCTACTCCACAAACTATCTAAAAATAAAATCTCAAAATATTTTAATGTATTTTGAATCACGCATTAAGGTGTGAAAAATTAAGCAACTTCATGAAAATTCTAAAATGTTGATTTTGACGATATATGGTACATGAGTTAACGATGCCAAAATTCTTCAAAATTTTGTTTATAGATAGTTCATGTGTAGTTGATCGCATATACTGGATTGGATTTTTATTTCCGGGCTTCTAATTTTAAATATGGATTGATAGTATCCTCATGTTGGATACTATTAATAGTAGTCTAACTCAACTCTATATATTTAGTAATGCTCTTGTAAACTTACATTGATATGAGCATCTTGTCCACCAATTTTGTATCAATTTGATTGACTTTGAGATTCGTGATAGCATGTGATACACATCAAGGCACATAACTCAAAGATAACTTTGATGTGTAGCACAAATCAAAGTGAAATCAAGAGATAAAAAGTTGGTGGACAAACTCTTCTATCCACTTAAGTCTATTCTAGCTTTACTATATATATATAGAGAGAGAGAGTTGAGCTAAGTTACTATTAACAGCATCAAACATTCGGAGATTATCAACATTGAAATCCTTTGAAATTTTGTTTCTAAGTATTTAATGTGTAGTAAATCTCATCCACCAGTTTGGATTATCAATTTCGGACTCTGAATTTTAAAAATGAGTTGATAATATCTTCATGTTGAATATTATTTATAGTAACCTAGTTCAATTCTCTCTATATATATACTTACATACATACGTAAAATATGTTAATAAGGATGCAACTTAGGTTCAATTTAAGATGCACCTCTTCATGCATGAATTAGACTATTCTAATGGATGATCTGTTCCATTCATCATGATCTAAATGTCTCAAAGCATCTAGAAAATAAAATCATGATGTTTCAATACTTCTAACACATATTTTTTATTTTTTTATTGTATTATCGTAAAACCATTAATTTTACAATCACTTGATGCATAACTATAACAGTATATGCCTAATTTTTTGCCTATATATCATTCAAAACATATAGATTGAAATGAATTGAGTGGATCAAATAAATTGATTGTATATAACATATTTTGAAGGTCATTCTTAGATTGAATCTAATATGTCTCATTAGTAACATATTTCCATGTGTGTGGTTTGAAGGTTATAAGGTGGCGGCTCATTTATCAAAATGAGCTATTAAGAGATAGAAATGTACGGTCCATGCCTTTTGATGTGACTTTTTGGACATGTTTAGATTTCCTATGGAGTAAGAGAAGTTAAGGGAAAATAGAGGGGATAAGAGAATGTAAGAAAATTTACCTACCCTAGGTTCCACTACAATTTGGAGGGGAACAAATTTTGTATTGTTTAGGGTTAAACTTAGAGGAACTAGGTGGAATCGTCTACCCTCTAAAGAATTTCCAAGTAGAGTGAACTAATGAGCTAAGGTGAATGTTTTCCCTTAATTTCCATTTCCTATATTCCCATCAATCCAAAAAATGCCCTTATTGTGGGCCTCATCACATGACTTTTTCTTGGTAGCGGCTCAATTTGCTAAATTAGCTACCAAGTGAGCCGGTACCAAGAGATAGCTATGTGATGAACCTTATCTTAAAAGTCACATCAAAAGGTATAGGAATAATGTGTATTAGATGGCAGCTTATTTTACTAAATTAGCTACACAGAGATAGCCATGTGATGAAGATTATCTTAAAAGTCACATCAAAAGGTATAGGAATAATGTGTATGAGGTGGCAGCTCATTTTGTTAAATGAGCTACTAAAAGATAGTCATGTGATTAGGCTCACCTTAAAGTCACATCAAAATGTATTAGTGCTGGCTTATTTTGCTAAATAAGCTACCAAGAGATAGTCATGTGATGAGGCTTTCCTTAAAAGTCACATCAAAAGGTATTGGTCTCATCACCTTATCTAGATCATTTTTCTAAATGAGCTGCCACCTCATAACCATCATGATGGTTATGAGGTGGCGGCTCATTTAGCAAAGCTATCAGGAGAATGAAGTGGTGAGGTTCACGTCTTTTGATATCGCTATCCTATTTCTTGGTAACTCATTTTAAAAAATGAGTTGTCACCTCATACCTATTATTTTTGTATGTTTGTGTTTAAGGTTTTTTGTAGCGTGCCCTTAGTGCATATGTTAAGAAGCATTAAGCGCTTCCCAACTATCTCCACTATCATTGAAAAATGAGTATACACTCAATGCTTTTAATTTTTTTTCTACCTAGTAATTCCTCCTTATCTTTATATTCCCCAGTTATGGATGCTCATGGTTTTCATTCTCCAAGAACAAGGAGAAAAATTATACCTTTTGATGAACCTTTATATACATATTTGCAAACCTAACCAGTGAGTTGTCTACACATGCTTTTGCATATCTATACTAATATTGAATTGTTCTTTTTAGTGAAGAATTGTTAAACATTTATTTGGATAGAACTTGAAATCAAATGACATATCTTATTAGTCAAATACTCAAATTTATGAAGTATGAACTTAAAATTTTAAAATAACATCAATGCCTAACATGATTAAATCAACGAGATCATAAAAAGTTGAGCATTCAGCTAGAGCTATTTAAGATAATTAATATCCTTAATCATATTTATTAGTTGAAGATATAATACCTTGTTGTAAATTGTTAGAATTGTTAAAATTTGGCTTTTCTAGAGAATAAATTATTTTTATTAAAATTATGAAGTTGTTGCATGTAGATGATTACTATCATCAATTTTAGATAAAAAATCAAAAGCATTAAGTTTGTACTCATTTTTCTACGATAGTGAAGGTAGTTGGGAAGCATTTAATGCTCCTAAATATATGCCCTAGTGTTCCTAAGTTGACACCTTAGATAATCATCTAAGGACGCGGCCTAAAATCACATGATTGAGCTATATTGTGGAGGATCCGCTCTGTCGAACTTGATCTACATATTCTAAAATCCCAACACACCAAGTTTAGGGTGAACTTGTCGTCATTTGACCCTTCATCCACTCGTATCAGTTTTAACGGTTTCGAATGAATAGAACTTTTCACATGGCTCGACGGAGGGTCAAACTACGATAGTCGATAGGTATACCCAAAACTTGGTGTGTTGGGGTTTTAGAATATGTAGATCAAGTTTAACGGACGGATCATCCATAATGTAGCTCAATCATGTGATTTTAGGCCATGTCCTTAGATGATTATCTAAGGCGTCACCTTAGAAACATTTTTTCCATATATACATATATATATATAAGTGAAGGGGTTTCTTTCTCTATTACTTAACCCACATTATCAAGCTGAGATTCAACCACATCCCTCGGCATCAGAGAAAGACACAAATACTTACTGAAATTAATAGTTTACTTATTTTCATTCACATATTATGATAACTTAAATTTATATACGATTTTCTACGTTTGTTTTATATGTAGATTATAAATTAGAAAATTGCTTTCTTTTAACTTGATACCCAAAATACCCTTCATATCATATCATTGAACTGGATATGAACTATGAAGAACCAAACTCACATCCATAGATATTCAAGAAGTAGATGTGGAGTATAGGATATATATCCAAGAAGTGACGAGTGTTTTCAATTAAAACATGCATTATATAATTGAGTATAATCTAAATAAACGTTTGCATACATCCAAGGAGTGTCGAAGTAAGTGTACAGTACTAATATGGGTTCATGAATCATGATAGAAGTAGTCATATGACAGTTATGAGTTGAGGTTATAGTTTTGTTAAACCCCTATTAGTGGAGGCCTAGTCCTACTTATTCTTCTAAACACAAAAAAGCATTTTGTGGTACAATTAGAATATAAAAATACAATCCTCCACTCTCATCATAACTTCAATGTTGTGGTTTAATGGTTAGAGAGACTTTAAGATAGTATCAAAGCAACTCAGGTTCAAATCCCACTACCCATAAATTTAAGGTAGATTTTCAGGTTTCAGCCCATAAAAGGCACTCATCCTGCCGGGCACACCTCTTGGGCACGCCTGCCACGCATGCTAGAATATAAAAATATAATCCTCCGGTCTCATTGTAACTTTGGAGTTGTGGTTGGTCATCCTGTCGGGCACACCTCTCGGGCGCGCCTGCCACGCATGCTAGAATATAAAAATATAATCCTCAAGTCTCATCGTAACTTTGGAGTTTGGTCTAATGGTTAAAGGGACTTTAAGATTATATATCTGGGTAATTTAAATTTTTCATCTTCAAAACCCTCTTTGTTGTGTTTCCACTGAAATTTTTCACCCAATTATATTATAGCGACTGCAGCTCCCAAATAATTCTACTCGGGTTAAGCAACAAGTAATACTCCAATAATTAAGAAAATACAAATAGAAACTTCAATTTACTTGACAAAAAACTATAAGATTTTATATACCAAGGTAATTAATCAAATACAGGGCATGTCCTAATTAGTTTCTTTTGTCATCCAAGCAACAAACGCCCTCAAGTCGAGAAATAAAATTAGGCAGCCCAAGCGAAATTAAGTTGAAACTGCAAAAATTACCTTGCAACTGTAATGTTGCTGTAAACCATTCGAAATTTTACTAAATCGAATTTCTACGGGAAAAAGAAAACCTAATATCAGCAAGAAAAAAAATGAAAATTTTATGAAGAGAAAGCTACCATCAGCAGACAGGGCGTTAACGGGAGGATTCTCGATCGTGATAACGGCGACTCCATCGGATCCAACCTCCATCGTAGTTCTCCCCTTCGCCATTTTCGCTCGAGCTCGAAAAAATCGAAGTCAAAGATTGAGGATTTTTTATAATGGGAAGAGATCGATGGTGGCGTGTCGACTGAGGGATTGTAGGAAAACGATCGCTTCTGCAGCGGTGCTGTGACCTTTATAAAGGAAAACGATACGCTCCTGGTGATTCTTAAAGGGGTTTTTAGATATCGGTCCCTGAAACTTCCATAATTTGATAAAAGTCCTTTTGAATCCCTGAGATTGCTAATAGATCCCTCAGATCCAGCTTCTTACGCCGCAGTTCCGGTTAAACCCCTCGGTTATATGTTTAAACACCACTTTTTTTTTACGATTTTAAACTGAAAATACACGAACTAACCGACATTTTTCATCTTCTCCTAGGGCAAAAAAAACCCACCCAACTAATTTTTCATCTTTTCCCTGAAGATGTTTTTTTATGAGGGAAACTTTATTCGTGGGAGCTATGACCAGATAGTGACGAAGCCAATAATTTTTTTCAAAGAGAGGCCAAATACAACCATCATACCATCATTTTAAAAGCTATCAAATACGATGATGTGCATATGTAAGAAGGTAAAAGACGAACCTAAAATAAAAGTTTTACAAAGAAAAAGTATTTTCATGAAAATTTAAATCATTTTAACATATGTACTCATCATTGAATCCACACGCGTCAATGTTTTAAACTTTTTTCAATTGTATTAATTGTAAATGGATTTTCATAACCATAAAACTACTCAAAAAATCTGACAAATTAATAGTATGCTATAAATTATACTATTAATATGGCGGGTTTTAGTCTCGATTTTGTTTCATTTGGTAATTACCCTTTGCTGATTAACACCACTACCCAATCATGGTTAACAATTTCAATTGTAGATAAAAATAAATAGACTAATTTCAAAATACTTCAATGATTTTGGGGACTAAACTCAAAATATGAAAAGTTTGCGGACTAATTCCATATGAAATATTTGGGATACTAATCTCAAATATGAAAGATTTGGGAGGACTATTTTCAAGTATGAAAGATAAGGGAGACTAATTCAAATATGAAACGTAGTGATTACAATATGAAAGATTTGAGGACTAATTTTACACAGATTCGGGTCATCTTTACTATCAAAAAAAGTAGTGAAGAGATCGCTACGTTATCACAACCATTGATTCTCTAATAGATGGGTAAACTTTTTTTCAAAGAGTGCAAATTAAGAATAAGTGCAAATCATGGGGGTATGTTAGTATTAGATTTAGAATGAAACGTTATCACCAACTAAATAATTAATGATTGCGATCAAAAGTAGTGTTCTCTCCAACTTTTTTTTTCCTTCTTTGTAGTGGACAGAATCCAAAGTCATTTTATTAGACATAAAACACATGGGAACTATTTTACGTGAAAGATTTTAGGGGACTAGTTTCAAATATATAGATTTGGAAGACTAGGTGGAAATACGAAAAGATACGGGACTATGTTAAATATGAAATATTAAAGTGCACGTGGAGCAGCTTGGTGCGTGGATGTCGCTGTTTGGTGGGAGAAGCCGTTGTGAAAGTAGGCAGCCAATGAGGTGAGATTCGGCGGTGTTGGCTGACCTCGGGAAAACGTAGTCTTTGGAGGCAGGCTTAATTAATGATGGAGAGGATGAGGGCGTGACGCTGTTCCCAACAAAGGATAAGAGGTAGCGACTGAAGGGATATACTCTTCTTAACAAGGGCGACGCAACGTAACCGATTCCGCACTTCTAGAATATATATGTACTAGTTTGCGGTGCTTTGCGGTTTTTTTTTTTTTTTTTTTTTTTTTTTTTTTTTTTACATTTTGTTTTTTTTTTTTTTTTTTTTTTTTTTTTTTTTGCTACAGTAATCCTGTTTTTTCTAATATGCATGCTTTGAATTTTTGCCGTACTACAGTATCCCGCTCTGCTACAGTAACTTTTAAATGTTACAGTATACCCGTGTGCTACAGTACCTTTTTAATTATTTATTAGCTACAGTAATAATGCTACAGTAAATCTGCTGTAGCATTTACTGTAGTATGAATAGTGGTTCTTTGATCCTCCCTTTTGTATAGAGGAATAGATAGGATCCTAGGCCAAAGGCAAATTTGAGAGGATAAAAAAAAATTAATAGTAGAGGTTTGTTACGAAAACTCCTAACATCTGACTTGTTGGTCTAATGTAATTTTTCTGATCATTTATTAGCATTCTCTAGAGGTTCAACTCAAAGGAGTAATTAGGATCATGTGTTGGTCGTCCTTCAATTGAGTGCTTTCATCACTTGCTTATGGTTGAATTCATCCCTCTCCCAAAGGAAGCAAATAATGTGTTTTATGGTGTGTTTGGGAGTTTACTTAGGGAAGGGAAGGAAGGGGAAGGAAGGGGAATTTTTCCCCTTCCTTCCCTTCCCCTCCATTACACCCCAATTTGGGGTGTAAGAATTTGGGCCAAATTTCCCCTCCATTCCCCTCCTCTACCCTCCAAAATGAAACTCCCAAACAAGGTTAAAATAAAATTTCCCTTCCCTTCCCTTCCCTTCCCCCTCTCTACCCTCCATCCAAACAGGCCATTAGAGCTGACTCAAGGGAGCGACTTTTTGTTCACGAGGGGACATGCCATGACTGATCCGCTCTGCTATAGCAAGGGGGTGTTTGTTTCAAATCCTATAATTTTAGGATATGGATTTCACCATGGGATTTGAAATCCATAGGTGTTTTGTTATGGGTTGGGATTTCTAAAATGCTATTTGTTTCATTAATATTTTGGGATTTAGAATACTACAATTTGTAATATTTTGTTTGTTTCAAGCTCAAGTTATAGCATTACCAAATGCCAAAAATTTGTAATATGATGAATATGCTATATTGGTGAGATTAACTCCCACAAAAAGATAAAATTGGGATTTGTCAAATCCTCTCCTATTGAGAGGTAAGCACACTCATTTATGGGATTTGTCAAAATCCTCCCCAATTGAGAGGATTTGACATTCTAAATTTTGAACACTTTTTTGTGCTTTTAGGATTCATTATTCCAAAAAAATTCTTAAAACAAACACCATATATGGAATCCTAAAATACAAAAAAAAACTCACTTTTTGATCCAAAAACTTGTAATCCATATCAAATGCCAAAATTTTTGGTGAAACAAACACCCCCTGTATGTATATTGAAAGTGTATAATTTCTAGTCGAAAGAAAATTTGAAGAAAAAAAAATTGTTATCAAAAGCTTCTAACACTGACACACTAATTTAACAACTTTTCCGATCATTTATCAGCTTCTCTAGAGATTCAACTGAAAGTAAGGCAGAAACTTGATGAGGTGCGCTCATCCTTTTTAAGTGTTTCTATCGCCAGTTTATGGTTGTGCTCAAGCGAACTATTTTATTTAGAAGGGTGTATTTCACAGCACCGATTATTCAAATGAGTTTTGCTACAGGGACCCAAAATATGAGACCAATAAGAGGGACAAGTGAGGTGTCCCCCTCCTATTGGATAATGAGTTGGCCATCATTAATAATGGCCAACTCATTATCCAATAGGAGGGTGACACCTCACTTGTCCCCCTATTGGTCCCATATTTTTGGTCCTTGAGAAATTTTTCTATTCAAATTGTTCATTGCAATCCACACGATCTAAAACTCACGGTGATAGAGTTGGTTCTGGCTTACCTCGCTCTGTTTTCGCTTGCTTTTGTTCTTCGAGTTTCTACTCCTATGTGTTGGATTTAATCTAATAAATCTATTTGTGGGCACATATGATTAATCAATGTGTATTGCTATCTTTCAGGATAACCTACTAAAGTGATCAATTAAGTTGGGTTAATGGGTATTTAAATATAATTATGGGGTTATATGTGCAGATACCAGGTTGTAATTGTGATTTATTGAGGGGCTAAATTACAAAAGTACAACATCTATAAATAAGGGGTTATGGTCCCTAACCTAGGGTTACATTCTCTAATTCTCTTCACCCCCATCTAAGAGAGAAATTCGGCTAAAGGAGAAAACCCTAAGGTTAGAAGATCCAAAACCCAAAATCAAGACCAAGCAATAAGTTTTCATCTATGGATTCAGGTATAAGCTTCCGCTCTTTTGATTCTTGTTAATCTCTTTGAATTAATCATGGCTATATGGTTTTAGATCTCAAGTTTTGATGTAGATATAACAAGTGGTATCAGAGCCACCTTGATTAATTCTTAGGGATTTAAGTTTTATTGGGTTTTTTGATCCTAAATCTCTGGTTAAAGATTCAGTTTTGTTTTTCGGATGAACAGTAAATTTTTTGTTCGGATGAACAGTAAAGTTTTTTCGGATGAAAAGTAACTGAAAAATCGCTGGTGAACAGTAACTTTTTGGAATTTTTTGAATTTTTCGGCGGTTTTTTCTTGGATCTGGATCAAGAAAACTTTTTTTTTCGATTCTAGATCTGTTTTTGATTTAATGGCGGCGGTTTCAGTTTGAAACCCTAAGGGTTCGTGCGTGAAAACGTGACGAACATTAAGGAGGTGGTTACCTCAAATTTTGGCGAAGTTGAAAGCTTCAAACGAACCTCGCGTTCGTTCTCAAATTTAACCGAACTTCGCGTTCGTTCTCATGTGAGCCTCGCGTTCAATTCAGGTGAGCGTCAAGCTCAATTTAAACGAACTTCGCGTTCGTTCTCATGTGAGCCTCGTGCTCAACTCAGGTGAGCGTCAAGATCAATTTTAACGAACTTCGCGTTCGTTCTCAGTTGAGCATCGCGCTCAAGTTTAACGAACCTCGCGTTCGTTCTTAAGGTGAGCCTCGCGCTCAGGATTAAGGTGAGCCTCGCGCTCAAGTTTAAGTCGAACCTCGCGTTTGTACTTCAGACGAACCTCGCGTTCGTACTTCAGACGAACCTCGCGTTCGCACTTCGGTCGAACCTCGCGTTCGTACTTCAGTCGAACCACGCGTTCGTACTTCAGTTGAACCTCGCGTTCTTTTATCAAACGAACCTCGTGTTCGTTCATTTTCAGACGAACCTCGCGTTCGTGCTTAAGTGAGTCTCGTACTCAATACAGTCGAACCTCGGGTTCACTATGTTGGCCTTCTTGTTTTGATGATGTTTAACAAACAATTTACCACTAATGTTGTTTGTCTAGTATTTGTGTTTTCGTATTTATTGTAGACAAAACAAAGCGTAAGTTGGAGTTGGATAGGATTAGGCCTAGCAGATCATACTCAAAAGGAGGTTGGGCGCGAATGTCGGTGAAGCCTTGGGCTATTCAAAGTTCCAAGTCCCAAGTTCAAAGCTTACATGCCGCTAGAGATTACCAAGTCAGAGTTATTGAAGATGCAAATCATTGCTTGGGTT